CCCACATCCCCCTCCCATTTCAGAGTCATCCCGCTTCACTTTGCTTCACTTTAGCGTGCTGGTGATGACTGAAGGCTGAGGAGCCTCCATCCTAATCGGCTTGAGATCTGGCTGCAGGTCAGGGCAGCAGATGACTACAGATTAGAGGGTCACAAGGCAGTTAGAGAGGATTACCAACTCTGAGCGCCCTAACCTCCTGCTGTAGGTATCCAACCGTCGGTTAACAAGCTGCACGGACTATTTGTAAAAGTCAAGGGGGCAGACTCTAAATGCATCTGTTGTGACTCACAAAAGGATCCGCTGCCCTTGAACTCCAGTTCACATATTGTCACATCATTTTAGATTTAAAAAAAAAGAAAAAAACAAAATACTTTCTAAAAAATATGGCATCCGTTTGTGTTCTGCCCCCTTTAATCTGATACCTCACAATAAAACCAAGCACAACCAATAGCCTTTGTAACTCATGTGTGATTTATTCTCTGTAAAAGTTCAGCTACTCCGTGAATACATCAGGTTTGTTAAAGAACATTAATGAACAAACATTGTTATGGGGAACAGAACAGCAAAGAGGGGTCAGGAAAAAAGCAGGGTTTAAATCCGGACTTGGACTTTAAATGAGGACTTGGATTTTAAAGATCCAGAGCTCAGGTTTGGAACATTTGCTGACAGGTTAGCTGTAAAGCAGGCACTCAGATGACTGTCGACAAACCAGACCTTAGTGGAAGACTGACAGGAAGCAATCTTTAGTTAAGAGCCATTGGGAGCTGCTTATAAGAGGGACATGCAGATTGTGAGACTTGATTTCAAAATGAATCCGACCAAATACTCAAAGAAAACCTGTCAGAGCTACATCCTCATCAGAATAATAGATTAAATCGAAGCATATTTATGTGTTGAAATAACCCAATTTAAAGTCTATACCTAAATGATTGATGTTCTCAATCCAGTCTCACTGGGTTTGTGATGCTTGCAAAGAAGAATACCGTAGTCAAGAATTTTAATCTCAGATTAGCAAAGTCGATGGAAATCTTCCATAAACATGGCTATATATAGTATAGAGGAATATAATTACAAGGCGCATTTTTCTTATTTTTACTGGTAGAACAAAAAAAAACAACTAATTTTCCTTCTTCATGCACAACTTTGTGTTAGTGTGAAAATGAAATCTGGATTAAATTATGTTGCTGGAACAACAATTTTTGAAAAGATTCAAGCCATGTAAATACTTCTGTCTTCTTTCTTTGTGCCAAATCTTTTTTCAGTGAATCTATTTGTGGTAAGATTTATGCCAGACATATTGTATTTCACATTAATATATTTAAATAGAAAACCAAATACATGGAGTGTTTTGCTGACTGTCAGTCCTTCGATGCCCTCCTGTATATAATAGCTGTGCAATAATTCCCACAGGCTTGTCAATCTGCTGCAGAGTATTTCAATGTAAACAATGTCAGTCTCACCTCACTGATGGATAGTTAGTTTTTACCCTGCAGCAGCATCGTGCTCTTATCCTCAACACTTCACCTTAGCTTAGCCCTCTAACAGTCCCACTGTAATCCCACTAGGTAAACAGAGGGAAATGTGTCTGCATTTCTGCTCCTCCTCCTACCTTTGCTTTTATCTCTCTAGATTAAATAGACCTTTTTAGATAGCAGGCTCTGTGTCACCTATCAAGTCAAACACAGCTCCTTCCCTCTGACTTAAACTTACTAAGCCTGTTTCAGTTAAGCATAAAAACGCTGCTATGTAAAAGGGTTGTCTGATAATTGGCCGTCCTGATACTTAAGGAGTTGAGCAGAAAATGTGTGGGGCCTTTAGGTGGTTAAGAATAACTAAAAACAACATAGATGGTGTTGGTCAGCGTTGGAAGGCTAATTAATTATATGTTACTGTTGATCTATGATTTATTAGGCCAATGGTCTTGGTGCAACAGCTGGCAAACAGGAAAAAAAGCACAGAAAAATAGTTTTACTTGAATTGCTTTTTTAAGGGCTGACAGTTACAAAAAGTATTATGAGGGGGTTTCTTTTTATTTTATAAAATAATGTTCATCTTTTGCTTAAGGCAACCCAGCTGGCTGAAGAGTAGAACAATAACAAGTAGGAAAGCACCAACGAGAAAAGTTGCTATTATGGCCGATTAACAATGCTTAAAGATATTATATATCTGACTAACCCTTTAACACCGTTTAAAAAAAAAAAACAGTTCACCAATTATTTTTCTTTTCCGCTTCAGTTAAACACCCCATAATCCTGGGAAGCATTGCAATCAATGTAACATGTCCAGACAAATACCAACCTTCTCCCTTCTTCCTACCAAAACACAAATTGCAGCAGGATGAAACTGAATCTGGTTATTAATATCGGCCCAGTTTTACTGATGGGACTGATACCGATATGATGAGATAATATTGGCCTATACTGATAGTTGATGCTGATTTATTTAGTTGATGCATCTACAGTATGGAGTAAGTTCTCTTAGGAATAAGCATCAATTAATGATGAGTAATGAAAGTATTATTAGTTCCTCAAAAATCCTGTTTAACTTGCAGCAGCACTGCATTAGGTCTGTTTTAGAGATTCTGATGTATTTTAACGGACATGTCCTGATCCGATATTGATATTGGAAATTGGTCCGACAGCCAAAAAACTAATATTGGGATAAAACTAATATCAGCATTTAATAAATATGAATAAATATATATTATATATTGGTATGATATTAGAGACTTAGAGCATGCTGATAGACACTCCACTGCTGTTTGAAGTTTGTGTAACTCAATAATTATGAATTGGTTTGTTGTTCTCAAACCTATTTTTGTTGACTGTTTTTCTCCGTTTGCCTTTTCTAACATCCCACCCTACAAAAAATCGAATAAAAGTGTGTGTTACACATCCTGGTTTTTGTATTAGGTCAATATTGGTATTGGTCAATATTCAATGCTGAAATATTGGTATCGTTATGGAAATTAATAAGTTGTATCGAGATATCCCTGTATTTTTGAACTAATTTAAAAGTGGAACATAGGATTATTTGTTTCTATTGTATCGTAGGATGGTACACAAATCAATAAATAAAATAAGAGTTTAAAGCAATGGTTCATAAGATACTCATCTTAGATTTGTTGTGCAGGTTTAAAGAGTCACTTCTAGCTTATCAGGTTTAAAATAAAGTAACCTTATTAAAAGGTTGCCTTTACCGCAAAAATGCAAAGCCATGATGGTTCATATATTTTAAAAACAGAAAGTGAGTACTGTAGTAGTCCTCTTTAAACACGCTAACTGGCAGTACGTAGTAACAGGTGAGGGAGGGGCATCCCCTCCAAACATGCTGGGATAATAAAAAAAAATAAAGAAGTAGTTTTGACTTTGACCATATCTTAAAACTGGGTGATGAAACCTTGATTTTGAAACTGTACCCTTTTAAAACCTTGGTATACCTTAAACTGTAACTAATCTGTCCATAATACTTTAGTTGTGCTTTGAAAGCATTGTGTTATTGCAGCGTTGTTTGGATAAACCTTTATTTAGCAAAACGCAAAAAGTCCACATTGTTTTGAGTTGGGGTTTAATCCCGGGGAGCTATTTTGAAAGTAAAAGGTCAGTTCTCTGTTGTGCTCATAAGTGCAGTTGCTTAAATCCTAGACTAAACCACTTGGAGAGCACTCTTGCAGAAAGAGTTCTTTTGGGAGTTTTTTTTTTGTGGTTTTATTTGTGTAGCAACCTTTTTCTGCCTCACTTGTCTGCCTGCCTTTTATTCCGCTCGAGGTCTTTGAAATGCTAATCCCTTCTCCTCCGTTATGTTTTCAGATTCCTCCACCAACTACATCAGGCAGCTGGAGACGAAGGTCCGGATATTGGAGGACGATAACAATAAGCTCCTCTCTCAGGTGAGACACAAACATGCGTATCCAAGCATGCCCTATAACGAGCGTCTGAATTTTACCCAAACTTGTCCAACTCGTCCAAAACATGTAATCGGCAGCTATGAGGACATAATAAGCTCGCCTGATCTTCTATGGAGAGATACTCTTATAACATGCTGGCTTGTTAGTTGCAGAATATGTGTATCCATGTTTAATTTATAGGGAGCCCATAATCTTCAGCTGCCAGCAGTGATGCTAGCCCCATCTGAGAGCTGGGGAAGCGGAGGAAAGATGAGAGGCAGAAGGAAAAAAATAAAAAGAGGGAAGCATTAAATGACAGTTACTGAGGAAAAGTTATTTCCCCCATCTTTTTTTCCCTCAAAGTTGACCTCATGTTGACTTCTCTCAAATTCAGAGGATTTAAAGTGTGGAGTGAGGGAGAGGTGGGGGTACTGCAGTATAGTTCACCAGGAGGTCACATGTCAGTCTGCAGAGGTGTGTTTACCCACACTGCACTAAAACAGAGACACTAATTAGCCCTTCGAGGGGGATAAAAGTTTAAATCATCCAAAGAACAGTCATTCATTATTGGCAAAGATGTCATCAAAAGACATAGACGAGCATTATCATTTTATCATGGGGGTTTATGATCTGTAGCTCATTTGAATACCAGCCAGGATAAAGACAGTCAAACTGAGGTCGATTTTCCAGGCTTAAAAGCGTTTTTTTTTTTTTCTCTTTTTTTACTTATTCCCGCATCAATAATTATGTCCCAGCAGATTTATGTGTAGGCGGGAGTAATAATTATATCATAATCATTTTATAAATGTTATTGTGAGGTGCAAAAGATTGCCTCACATGAATAATGAAGCAATAGAATGAGGCTTTTTTTAGCTGGTGAACTTTTCCACACTTTTGACTTTCCAACCAGGAACTTTAAAGTATTTTAGGGAAAGTATATGGGAGGGACCAAATAAAAAGAGTTTTTTTTTTTTTTTTTTACTTTGAAAATATATGATACAGTTATTTAAAACCCATATTTTGCTGCAGGTGAAGCTTCAAGTCATTGCAAATCTACAGACTGAGTTTTCTTTCCCCTCTGCTTTGCAAATAGTTCAAATAAAGCCAAATTGAATGGAAGGGTTTCTGTGAACTTTCATTTTAATTATCCACTGTTTAGTTTTAGTTTTGTTTTTAAACGTACCATTTAAGCACTTGCATATGCTATGATCATAACCTTGCCATGGCTGTTTAGTACCATTGTCTGATAAAGAGTGAACCTCCACCCCAGTCTTAAGTCTTTTGTAGCCTCTAACAGGTATTTCCTGTCACTGTGGGAAAAACAAAAATAGAACATCCCCACAGCCTGATGCTTCCACCACCATGTTCAATGCTTTGGATGATGCATTCCTTGGAGAACTGCACAATATATCAAATTGTACCTACCATTGTAATATACCCATCACCGACTCACAGGGCTGTTTAAAGAGGCCATAAGGACAATTTAAGGAGCATGCATTGATGCTCTGCAGGTAAAGAACAGACATTTACCTGTTTGGTTTTGCTATTGATTTCAATGTAAAAAATTCACAGAGAGGGGTGGAATAGAAGAAAAAGTGAGAAGAATATTAGTTATAGCGAAATACATATTTGATCCTCATGCAGTCCTAGTATTTGGAAGCCAAAATATTTCTATTTGGTTAACGGAAGCACAATCCTGTGATAAAAGAGAACTTCAATATTAGTAGTTTTTTGTGAACAATTGTTGCCAAATGTGCGGGCAATATAAAGCATGCTTGTCATGTTCTTAGCCACAGTGACCTGGGTATAATTTACCATACATTTATGTTGCCATATTTTTAATTGCGTATAAGTCTGGGGGAATTGCTATAAATCAAAGTTATTGCCTTTAATTACCGGTATACTGCAAAAATTGGCATATAAGATTGTTCAAAGAGAACAATATAACTATTATAATAATATTCTTTTTGGAAAAAGAGTTCATTAAAATTGCATAATTTGAAAACTGTATAATTGCTCATATTATGTTTAGGGATTAAGTTTTTCTGCAAATGTGCAAAATTATTTTCTGTGATAGAGGTGTCCATCTACTACCGTACTTAAGTTCTACTTTAAAATCCTCCTACATTTCAGTGTGGGGAGTGATTTTATGAAATCACTAAACAGAGGAGGAAAAATCTTTTTTTGTAGTAGTAAATTTAGAAGAGGGTTCAAATAAAATGTAATGGTGAAATATTGGGAGGAGAGAGACTGATTTCCTCAGCGGAAAGCATGCCAATAAAAGGAGAAGGGTGTGGCGTCAGAAAACTGCCTGGCCTTTCTTTGTGTAGATAGATGGTGAGTGGAGGGATTTAAACTGTAATAAGCTTCTGCTTCATTCATCACCTTTTTCAAACCATGTAGGTCAATGTGTTTTGATTTTGTTCATTAGGTTTTCTGTGCAGGTTTTAAATAAATGAACTAGATTGTGCGTTAAAATGTCAGTTACTTTTCTGTTTCAGGATAAACTGTTAACCATGAAGCTGTTCAAATCTTGCACAATTGTTTTATCATCCAACTCTCCTCTTACCATCCATAACTTTTGCACTTTGTGATGAAGATTAATGCAAAGAAATAAAAATGCTCATCACACTTTTTAGAGTATAAATAATTAATAGGAATCCTTTCTTTCCTACTTCACAAATGCCCACTTATGTTGGTATATCACACACAATTCTAAAAAAAAATGCTTTAAATGATGTCATTGAAAGATAAAAGAACATTGAAAGCTTTAAGATGTTTCAGTAAAAAAAAAAAACAGGAAAAAGAACAATGCAATAATTCTACACGTTGTGTTTTTCTCCCTAGGCCCAAAACCGCTATAGCTTATCACAGATACAGATGAAACAGGTAACTTTTTGAAATGTCATCATTATAAATGTTGGCTCTACTATTCACCAACTCTTTGGGCCTCTTCTTCATTCTTCTAAATGTTTGGTGATGGGACTCTTTACAGCTTTGAGCTTGAAACTTTCTACTTCCTAAAGGATGGACACAAAGCAACAATTGCACCATATAAAAGTTTACTAAATGTTTTAGGGTTATGGGTGTTTTTTTTGTTTTTTGCCTCTGTTCTCAGATGGCCATAATGGTAGTTTCTTACTTTCTAAATGCAAGCAAAAACATTCTGGACCTCCTGAGGGGAAATCTGTACTTTATCTATGCCTGGTCTTATCAACCGTGACCCCAGTGTTTGGGGGTTTTGGCCACTTATTGTGGAATAAATGTAGGTTAAGGCTACATCTACATGCAGCTGAAGGTAGTATGTGCACAGACATGTTTGTTAAAGATGAAAGCAGACAGGTGAAATAGGCATTTTAATAGTTATGCATGCAGGTGAGGGGAATAGTAATTCTACCCCAGAAGTAATGGTGTTAAAAAAAGAAGAGTAGGGCTAAATAAAAACAAACAAGGAGTGAAAATAAAGCCATTTGCTTTGTCCACTTGGGTCCACACCAAATTCACATGTTGCTGTTAAATCCAAAATAAATTGTTTACCAGATAGACCCAAACCCAGCTTTGTTTGGTTTGAGTCCAACTCTTCCATCCCATAGATAAGTTAGTAAAGGTTATCTACACCTTTTCTTATCATGATGACCCCATACATAATGATTCACTCAACACACAAGTGTTTGTGATTCATCAATTGGCACTGCACTTTGTCATTTCACAGTCAACCTCAGCAACAACTGGTAAAACCGGTTTCATTTTGAGACCGTAGTGGAGGAAATATTTTAGACTTATTGGAAAAGCAAACTTGAAACTTGACAATTTTCTTATTTTGTTTAAACTTTTCTGATGTGGGATTCATGTAAATCTATCAAACAAAGCATTAAAAAATAACTTTTTTCTCTGTTTTCCAGCTCAGTGCTTAGATTTCCTACAGTTAAAAAAAGCAACCACACCTTAGCAACCACACAGATTACTAAAAGAAGTTGGCATCATTTCTAGTTTCTGAAGAATTGTCATGATGTTGGCTTTCTTCTTGGTATGATTACCTGTAAATCTCATTCTCACACCTTTCATTCCTTGAACCCCTTATTCTTTGCACAGGCTTTGTCTCCAGTGTAAATCTAGACAGCTGCTGTTAACTTAAATCTGGTGAACATGCCATTTCCCTTGACAAGCAAACATAGGCACAATTTGGAGGTGTGTGCCTCTTTACCCAGGTGGGAATTCATGTTCATTGATGCCGTGGTGTTGCTAAGTAATCTATTTGGAGATCGTCTCTGTTTCAATTTCACCATATGAGACTTCCTCAAGCACCTAAAGAGAGAATCCATGTTGATTGCTGTGGCGATTGCTGTGGCGCAGTCTTAAGGCTGATTTATACTCAGAAACCAGGTCGTCTGTGCGTGTGTTGCAGTGAATGCAAATGTGCCCCCGCCTTTTTTCGCAGACACTCTGCTGCACCTCTCCAAAATTGTAGTTGACCGCAGACAGGAGGCGTCTGATTGGTCAAATCTACATCCGCTCTACACTATGCGTATTTCCTGTTTGGTACATTGCCGGCTTGTTTTGTTTGTATGACCGCCATCGTGGAAAACGACTTGTGAAGATGGAGCAGCTGGAAGAGCGAGGTGCGCGAGAACGCTGGGACCCTTTACCCACCTGGATCCCCGTTTTTTTTCGCTCTCATGTCCCTCCGTTGTCGCATAAACTTGCCCACACTTCCTCACCACCTTGGCTGTATCTAGACCCACAGCTAGTCCGTGACTATCCCTCTTGAGTTGTGGCGTGGAATAACATAGTATAGACCACGCATCAATATTGGGCATAAATCAGAAATATCTGTGACAAGCTCACTGCGACACTGCTGCAGGAGTATAACCATCCTTTTAGTCCACAAGTTTAGTTCTGACTAAACGTAGTCCATGTATAGTCACTTATTTTTTATTTTTTTGTAACATACCATCTGGATTTAATGTTATCTTTTGTTTACATATTCATTCCATAATTAAAACCATTTCCTGCATAAATGTACCCCTTTTTTATATTTTATAAAGTATTATAGATGCAGCCCCCCACTTTAAATATGATCATTGCAGTTCCAACATGACTGACTGCAACTCTGCCTGAGAGACAAATTGTATTTCCAAATCAAAAATCCCTGTTTAAATGTTTTTTTTTTTTTTTTTTTTTTTTTTTTTTTTTAGGTATTACAAAAACATTTTCTTGCAGCAAGTGTTGCTTCTGTGTCCAGTCCTTTTTTATGTGCCTCCAGCATGTTCTGCTAATGAATTACACCAGTGGTCCTGCTGTGTACATGTGACTTTCCTTAGTTGGAAAAACCTTAGTCTGTCCTTGGATTTGCACTGCACCATGTTCAGTACTCAGTACTCCAGGTGAATGAATGCTACATCGTGCTTTGGTGCATAAACCACACTGGCTTGTTCATGCTTGTCGAGACGTCTGGTGGGCTGAATAATTAAACGTATGGGAGCAACACAGGTGGATCCATGTATACATAGCGCATGGCTGACAACTGGCGTGTGAGTGTAACTGAATAACAAAAAATGTCAGTTTGAAGATAAACTGATTTAAGGGAGAGAAATTTCTTTGAAAGAGGGGAAAGCATCTAATTTTTTTTTCCTGTTCCCTCTTGATGACTACATCCTCAGAGACAGAAAGGCTAGAGTGGATTAGCTGAGTCAGTTGACATATTACCTAACTTCCTAAACAGTAAAATAGGTTGATTGAAACTTGCTTTCAGCTAATAGAGAACAATAGCCTCTTATTTGGGGAATGCTGAGCTCGTAGGCCAGGTTTGTGGAGAAATGTTTACTGGAATGGATTGCCAAATGGAATGACTTCAGAGGCAAAGCTGCTCTGTATTCATAAAAGAAACCAAAAGTTGGTGTAACAAAAACAAAACTTAAAAATATCCAATAGTTGTTTTTTGTGTTCTCTAACATGCTTGCTTATTACTGTGTATTACTGCTTATCATATTATAGAGCCACTCAAACTTTGCTTTCACATGATTGTTCTTGATTGTTGACAAGAAAAGTAACATAATATTTCAGTTTCAGCAGATTCAGATGATACAAATTCTACTGCCTATAGTTTGACTTCCTATAGAAATACTGACTGTCATAACTGGGAGTGCATCTTGCAATACTTACATAAGCCACTGCATTTCCAGATGCTTTTTACTGTGTTAACCTTTTCCTGGGCCAGGGCAGCTTTCTGAAAGCATTACCCCCCTCCCTTTGTTTCTTTTACATTTATCATGTTAAAAACAGGTTGTTAGGATAAAATACA